TTTCATCAGGCTTTACTGGCGAATCTCGCTACAGTGCCCCGGTGTACGTGTTCTACACCGACCAAGCACTCTTGCGCATGGTCTGCACAATTGGTGAGGTGCCACAGAGGAGGCAAACCAAGTTCACCAAAGTGGCATCAGAGTGACTCTTCAGCATGGACAGACCCTCATCGTGGAGAATGGGAAGTGGCCAAGCTTTTCATGTCTGATTTAGGCACTAGTAAGACTACTGTGGTGGACGCAAATACCACTGACTGTACGGGCCTTATTAACCTCATGTTTTGGTGTGTTCATTTTCCCATCCAACGACACGTTATTGAAGCTGTCCGGGAGACGCGAAACACCAAATGGGGCCACGCTCCAAGGCAAGAGCTCACCGACAGTGACAGAGCAGATGCTTTAACTGCGATCCGAGATCTCCTCCAAGATCCGGAGCTAATTGCCGACGGTGATGCGAAAACCGCCCTAAATGAAATAACACTAATGGAGGCGAACTTTGATGCGCAAAGCGTAGAAAGAAAAGTCCTTGCTGACTTTCAAGTTGCGGTTCTTGGTCAGTTGGGAGATATTGAAGGTGAATTGAGAAATGTTAAGAGGTGCTGCAAAAAGCAACAAAATAACAGCAACAAAATACGAAAAAAACTTCGCGGCCTAGAAAATCGACAAAAGAAAGCGATTGAGCTCTTACAAAGTATTAATGACAGGATAGAAGACGAGGAGAGAAGAAATATTTCCTTTACCAGCAAAACGTGGAAAGCTATAACATGGACTCTCAATAAAACTAAAAGAGGTTTTGTTGTTAACCTCTGCAGTTTGAGCACGAGGTCTCTGTTATTTTGGACATTTCTTATTATTCTGCTCGGCTGTTTTAAATGTTTGGACCACAACTCTTATAATGATGGTAAGTTTCGCCTTTAATTACAACGTAACTGTCCCTTTTATTGATAGTGATGCAACGTTATGTGTCTAATTACTTTAATTTTTATTAAAGGTAGGGTGGGGGGGGGGGGGGCGAAGATCCGTATACCCGTGCCAATGTTTAGTAATGGGAATCCGTATATTTACTGATTTGAAAAAACAAAACAAAACAAACAATGTAGAACTTTCATCTGCAGAGAGTTTATGCCCAAATGACTTTCACGTTTTGATAAAAAAAGCTTAGTAGTATTTAAATGAAATTACCGAGTAGGTGAACTTAAATGGTTTCATTTTGCTACGGGACATCCGCCAATTACAAAACAGAACATACTGGCGATAAGAACACTCGTAAAGGCTAAGATTTTATAATGAACCTCCCTCTAAAAGAGGTTTTAAAAAGTTGGGGTGGTTAAGTTCAGTAATGGAAAATTTCACTGCAACCCGTTCAAATTATTCAATTCACATTCAAATTAATCTTCGCGCAGCCTTGAACTCTTTCGCCATTTTCTTGTCGTGAGTTCCGCGCTCATACCAAATAAAAGAACTGAGCCGCCGTGCCTTCGTCTTAGGTGACGGCAATGATTGCATGTTTATTGCAATATACTGACACTATGATTTACCATTAAAAAAAATATGTGAAGATGTACCGGTAATGTTTTGCGTATGCTATGTACTGTTCACTTGCATGCAGTACACTTATTTTTCACCAAAAATCGCTAATAGTAAAAGACATTTCCCATCACTTACGAATGCCTCATTTGACTAGGTTGCCCATTGGAAGTTGGAGATGTCCCATTTGACACAAAAGAGTTCAATTTTACAAGGTATCTGAATAAATCTCGGGAGCACTTCACAGGGCGGCGTTGGCTTTATAGTGAACTAGAGTCTATTTTGTCGGACTCACGAGGCAACATCGTGCGTGGGGTTGTGGTGATCGGTAAGCCAGGGGTTGGAAAATCTGCCTTAAGCGCACAACTGATTTGTTCCCGAGCATCCAGCCCTTACATTCACCAGAGAATTATTGGTTATCACCTTTGCAAGTACTCAGACAAAGCCACTCAAGATCCCGGTCTCTTTGTTCGCAACTTAGTCGACTTGATAGCTAGAAGGATTCCTGAGTACGGAATGCTGATTTATAACAGTTCGTTCATTCCGAGAGTTCTTCAAACAAGTTGCTTGCGAGATCCCTATGACTGTTTTGAACAAGCTATTGCCATTCCATTGAGACAGGTACAGAACGAACGTCAATATCACATTATAATTATAGATGCCTTAGACGAATGCGTCTCTGATAGCGCTTGGTCTACTTCGTTAGTACAATTTGTGAAGGACACTTACAATAGACTTCCGAAATGGGTACGTCTTGTGATGACGTCACGTAATGACTCCGCTGTATTGGGTCATTTCGACAGTTTTCCCAAGGTGCACCTGTCTTCTTCAGATGCGAGAAACTTGCAAGACATCGAAATTTTTATAGCTTCAAAGTTATTTGAAGATACACCATTCCTTGAACGAGCAAAAGTTATTTTAGGCCTCGGTAGCAGTGACGAAGTCACTTATCTGACAAACAAGCTATTGACTCAAAGTGAAGGAAACTTTTTATTTGCAAAATTAATGCTTCAGTACGGAAAAGATGACTGGCACAATCAGGCTGATCTGAACAAGCTCCCGAAAACAGTGGGTGAACAATACGAGAGATACTTGAGAAGAGCTTATGGATCGAGGGAGAAGTTTAAACCCGCACTTGCAATATTGGAAATCCTAGTTGCTACCTTTGAACCTCTGAAGGCAAATCATATATTTGACGTTTTACGCATCCAAGAAAAGATGGACTTCGAGTACGACTTTGTTTATGCTCTCAAAGGACTTTCGCATTTTGTTACTTATGGGGAGGACAATACCATTATTTTTTTTCACCAGACTTTTAGAGAATGGTTGACGAGTAAGGACAACCTTGGGAGTCCGTATTATGTAAGCAGGAGTCGAGGGCACAGACGTTTGGTGGAATATTATATCAATGGCCTGAGAAACAATTCAAATTCCTCAATGGACATTTATCGCTTAGCACAGCACATAAGCTTTGGTGAAGAGGCCGACAACTATCTCGATGAATTCAGGAATATCAACGCTAACTACATTAATGCAACCATTGACAATGACAAACGCACTCTTCTCCATCTTTCTGCCTCTAAAAATAACAGAAAGGCTCTTCGGATACTTAGTGAAGCTTTCGAGGAGATCGACTGTGAGGACAGCTATGGGTTTACTCCAGCATTTGTTGCAGCAATGAACGGTTGGGCAGAAAACGTAGACTTTCTCTTAAGTAAGGGGGGCAATATAGAGCATCGAACAAAGGCACCTCCACCACCAAGCTACGTCTGGGGTGATCCAATTGAAAGATCTAAGAGATCTTTCTGGAATTCTACAATGATGCATGCTGCGGCTTCGGGTGGTCATATCGATGTTGTACGTTTGTTGCTAAGAAATAATGCTTCATTTATGGACGTAAATGGTGTTAACTTGACAACTATTCAACTGGCGGCACAAAATGGACACTTCGAAGTTGTTCAGGTGTTGCACAAACACGGAGCACAGTTAGATCACCTATCTCTTCAGTTTGCCGCATTTGAAGGCCATGCAAATATAGTCGCGTATTTATTAAAGTTTGGCGTAGAAGATATCTGCATGCGATGTGATGGTTCCTTTTACTGGCTCCAAAACCGAACGCGATATCAGGCGGTAAGGCTTGATTATTTGCGCGATGCCGTTTTGTCTGACGACAAGTTTAAGATTTTTTGTCAGAGTGCATTGCACCTAGCAGTTGCTAAAAATCATACCAAAGTTGCACAGCTGCTCCTCTCGCAGGAGTATAAGACAATGCATTGCACCGACTTTACAGGTAGAACTCCTCTCCATGAAGCTGTTAGGCAAAACCATGTTGAGATGGCGGAGTTGCTTATAAGGGGTGGAACAAAAATTTCTCACAAATGCAGCCGATTCCAGAATCTATCTTCCGAATGTCGATTAAGTTTTGAAGAAAGAAAAGACTACGGTAAAGATATATGCCACTGTGGTTCGACTCCTTTTCATCTGGCTGCAAGGTATGGCCACGTCGAAGTCGGAAGCTTGCTATTAAGCCACGAGGCGAAGTCCGACAGTATGGACTGCCAAGGAGCTACACCATTACATGTAGCTGCATGTCATGGACATTTCTCATTTATTAGATGGCTTATTTCTCAAAGGCCTTCTCTTCATATTAACACAAGAAGTAAAAACCAGTCTACATTGCTACACAGTGCTGCTATTTGTAAGAACAATCAGAGAGTGGAACCCTTGATTGAGATGGGAGCTAGCATTTACGACACTGATAAGTACGGAATGACTCCACTTCACTACACTGTGCTAAATGCTTTTGAACATGCTGAAACTGTCTTTTTTCAAGCCTCCGAATGGTTGGACGAGCCTATTCTCGTTTTGGGGTCAAGGGGAGATTTTACTTTTGCGCAAGATTCAAAACCAATTAGAAGGCAAGTGCCTTTAAATGTACAGTGCTTAAAACTGTTAGAACTAACCGAATCGACCCATGCTTCCTTCATTAACCAAGTCGATGAAAATGGTACAACAGCTCTACACCTTGCAGCCAAAAATGGCGAAGAGTGTTGTGTTGTGGAGCTTTTAAACAGGGGAGTGCGCACAGACTTAACAGACAAAAAAAATAGAACCCCGTTAGATGTAGCCATCGAATTCACACCGGACGAGTTATTTAGTGAAGACTATAAAGAGTGTTCAATGGGAATTGAAGAAGATTTCGATTTTTCTCGGGCATTGAATCTGAGGTATCATAACTCTGTGGCTAACATTCTGCTGTCAACAGAGGCCTATTTGGCACAGAAATGCGACGAAACTCAGACCAACCCGTTACACCGTGCATTTGAGAAAGGGAAACCATTCATTGCTGATATTATTCTTTCAAAGGGTGGTCTTCTTAGCTGTAAAGATAAACAAGGACGAACCCCTCTTTTAATTTACTTGCAGAATGGAGGCAAGTGGCTTGACGTTGTCTTGAAACGCTTCAATGTGACTATCACAATCGAATGTAACAAACACTTTAAACATTTCCGAGTTCCATTTGGTAGCCTTCAGGAAAGCGACAGCGTTATCAGAAAACCTTTTGGAGCAACAGAAGTGTGACTCACATGAGTGTTACATGGAAGATGGCCCCCTCGCAAAAGCTATTAAGAACCATCCCTTAGGATTTCGTGTGATCGACGAATGTCGTGACGCGGAGGGATACACAGCTTTGCATCGAGCCGCTCAAGGAGGAAACTTGCCGGTGCTTAAAAGGTTTATTTCTTGGGGGGCCAATCCGAACCTTCTGACCCCTCAGGGGTACAGTGCTTTACATCTAGCCATAATGTCTGGTATACGTCCTTTTAGCTCATTTAACGCAAGAGGGATAGCAGAAGATGCGGCTGATGTCTTACTTCGAGCTGCAAGACACATTTCGGCTTTTGATGTTGGATGCAACAGTGCAAAGATGAGCCTTACAGTTTATCACTTGTCGGCTTACGGAGGTTTGACAGGTTTTGTCAAGACACTGTTAAGTAGTAAACAGGATCTTGGCGTTGATGTGAATTGTTCAAATGTGCACGGTGTAACACCTTTATATCTAGCCAAACTGCACGTAGGAACAGAAAAATTTCACCAAAGTGGGAAGGACCCATGGCAGGAAATTGTTACACTGATTCAGGAACTTGGAGGCAGGCTCACTTATCCAAATCGAGAGGTAGAACTAAATGTACTATATAAACATTTATTTGGTGGAAACCTAAATCCTTTCGTGTTGTACAAGTCTGAACAGCCTAATTTACGTTTCTACAAAAGTGTCGATACCAGCTGTAGAAAAGCTGACTTGAAACATTACGGAACAGGAACTATGATAAACCCTTACGAGAAAAAATTTCATGATAACCTATTGCGATTTATACATGTACCAGAAAATAGATTCCAGTTGTTTCCTCGCGGTTCATCCCAACGGCACACTATACTTGCAACTCTTGATGCTGTGAAGAAAGCCTCCACAGATGTATATCGTCTGTATGGTGATTGCTTGGCAGGGAGGAAAAGAAACGAAAGAGAAATGATACGAAGGCGTAATGAGGAGAATAAATCTCTGAACATTTCCATCAACTCTAAAAAATTGAGGTTGTCCGCGAAGAAGCGCCTAAAGCAACAAGAACAACAACTACGAGAGATCCATTTTCAACACGAGTCATCAAAAGCGATCAGATCCCACAGAAACAGATACCTCAAAGACATTTTGCATGAACACCGTGGTGTATTGGGAGACACTTCTTCAGTTATAAAACTTCTTGAAAGGTCAGAGGAAAGTGATTTATGCGAGGATGAAATTTTTCAAGCGAGGATCTTGTTATTGAAGTTTAATAATTATATTCTTAACTCTCAAACAGACGACCTTTTAAGTTTTATGCGATCCACACTGGAGATCGCCGACTTCACTTCCAGAAGAATCCCAAAAGAATGGAAAATAGTAAACTGGGAAGGACAGATATTAACTTGGAGCAGAGCGGTTAAGTTCCTTTACAAACAGGCAACTCAGAAGGACTTGACCTTTGACTACCTTCAAGTTCTCTGTTTGGGATTGGACAAGGACACTCGCATTCCACTGAGTGTGGACGCGTTATTTTCTCTTTGGCTTGAATACTGACCAAATGTTAAGAAGCATGGGTCAATGTATTTTGCCAATTTAGATAAAACTGCGTACACTTAAACTAACGATACAAATATGATAGAAAAAGGGGCCAACTTCCTTTTCAGAAAAAGCGGCGGATGTCTTGTTTGAAGCTCAGTTAAGACGCATTTCCGCTTTTGATGTTGGATGCAACAGTGCCAATGGCAATGAACTTGACAATATATCACTTGTCGGCTTACGAAGTTTTCTTTCTCGGGCTTGTTTTGCTGATGTGATTGTTCTAATGTGCAATGGACTTGCCTTTTTACCATGCTTAATTGTACGCTGGGACAGAAGATATGGGCAAATTCAAATGAGACCAAAGGGAAAAAAATAGAACTCTTCTGCTTGTATATTTTGTTTCCCCGACTCAGGTCATGTAATAATACCCTACGGAAGTGTTTCTTTCAAATTTCGTCTTATTCAAAAATAATAATAATTATAAGTCTCTACTAAGTAATATATCAAACATGAGATACAGTGTTTCATCACCAAATGAAACACCGAAAAGAGAGTTGAAAATACAACGCGCAGCGGAGTATTTTTGACGAACTTCGAGGTGTTTCATCTGGTGGTGAAACACTGTGTCGAATGTTTGATATTTCTTCTCAAACAAAATCATTTTTGAAGGAGAAATTAAGGATGCAAAAATTAACAGTTTTTCATCTGATATCCAAACACTCATTAAACATTAATTTCCTTTGAATTTTCTTTATGAATTATTAATGACTTTCAGAAGCTTTAAGCAAAAATACATGCTAAAAAGTAAGGACACTTACAGTTAAAAGCATTTAAAATGCTGAGAGAGTTAAAAAGGTTAAAAAAATGTCTTATAAAATATTAGAATTAAAAGCCATTAAGCATTAAATTCCTGCTTTAATAAAAAAATCTATTTATAAAATTAGAAAATTAAACCAGACTTACCTGGAAGTCGAAGTTTGATTGGGATTCTTGTACGTCATCTTGGGCTTGAGGGATCAGGTGAGATTGCAGTGCCATGTGTACTTCAGTCTCCAAATTTATCATTACAAGTTAACATAGGGAGGGCCAATACCTGGTTCGGCACCTGATCCCTCAAGCCCAAGATGACGTAGAAGAATCCCAATCAAACCTCGACTTCCAGGTAAGTCTTGTTTAATTTTCTAATTAGTCTCGCTTGCTTTAGAAAAGCGCGACTCTTAAAATGCGCTCGTTTTTTTTTTTTTGTCGGACCTAGTTTGTAGGCCTCGCGTTCCTAGCGAAGACCGTGGAAACTGGGGATAAGAATCGTGACGACTTTCATTGTATGGAAATGAGTCTCGTGATGAGAATGCAGTTTATTTCGGCGATGACTGAAATGACGCATGTAAGTTTGGCAATGACGTAATTTTCCTCGAATGGAGGCCCTTGATTTTCGTGTAATTATGCACGACATGCAGGCACATCCCCAAGCAGGATGAGAAAATATTATAGCGGGGAAATCCTCAGGATTTTGTGGCTTTTTAAGGCGTTACGTTTCTCAGAATATTGTCGCAATTACAGGAAATGTACGGTTAAAAAGATTCACTTTGTTTTATGTATTCAATTGATAGATTTTCG